AAACCAGCATCCCAGCGTCCAAACATACCTAACCAGCATATGCTGTTTTTTTCAACAGGGAGATCAAAAGTGTACAAACAATACAAATGATTTAACGCACTATTCAGTGTTTATCTTTCATAAAAGGCTGTAAAAGGATCAAAAACAGAAGCATTTCAGGAAGATGAGCAGGAATGAATATCGATGCCTTTTGAGAACCATCTGTGAAGCATCTTTGTAACCTGGATGTGGAAACATATGCCAGTCAACTTCATGAGTGTTCTCACAATTCTCACAAGATTAATATCTTCTTTGCTATTCAGGAAGTGCATTCCCATTCCACCTGCGCTCAGCAGACCTGCCTAAACATGCTTTATCTTTTGTGTCATTTACAAAACCCCTATCATGTCTGCTACAAGAAAACAGCTTCTTGTGATGGTTGTGTCGGTGCCAGAGCATACAAACAGGGCAGAGGGGGTCCTCTTCAGCTGAAATCAGTACGGCGGGCCAGCACAGGCACTGAAGTGGAGTTTTCTTTCATCCACATTCTTGTCCAGATCGCCTGAATTCATCAGATAATCATTTACAGTTTCCACATTCCTTGTGCACAAATTCAATGAGTCTCTGAACTCCCTGAATGTGGTGAGAAAGAGACTATTGGATGACAGGAAACTTGGTGGTATGAGATGTGTGATATCTCCCATCTGTCTGGATCTCACAGCACAAGCTATCAAAAAGTTATTCAACTCTATACACCGTTAGTCATCATGGAAACCATTCCTTGATTGTACTTAACCATTAGTTACAAAAAAGACATTAGAGTTTATTTGACCTTAAAGTCAACATATTTTTTAGTGAAACATAATATTCACAGGAAAAAAAAAGGAAAAAGAAAAAAGTGATTGATTGGAAATGTAGACGTTTTACACTTTGGAAGTCATACCCTTTGCAAAGAAAATATAGTTCCTTATATATTAACAATCAATATATTCAATTAAGCCCCTAACCCTGCCCCTTAAATCGCTGATGATAAAGTGGACTTTTGGTCCGATCTGGGTGCCCCCGGATCACCCCCC